GAGGAGTAAAGGAGGCCATCTTTGTGAAAATAAATCGTCCATCATTAAACAGGGGTGGAGGCCTACGTGTTCAACTGTCCCCCTCTTACAATGCTGTGATTGCTAGTATCACTCAGCCCTCTGTGAACAGTAAACAGCCATCAGTGTGCTAATGATCCATTGTTAGGCTGATGGTCCTTCTTGAGCATGTGATCAGCTGGTTTTGGTTGTCAGCAGCAAAACTGGTTGATCCACCCTGAGACGGTGCTATTTAAGAGACTGAGCTGAATACAGCTCCTCAGACTGAGGAAGTCTCTCGGATGAGAGACGAAACGTTTCTACATTTTTTTGTTGATTTGCTTTGTTTTGTTTTTTTTGAATGTCCAGAGGACCAGATTTAACTTTTTTAGATTTTTCTACCTGGATTATTGAGCATGCATCAGGATACTACAGAAGACGTTGACCTCCCCAGCATTCCCGTCGAATACCACGACCTCTCCCCGGTATTTAATAAACACATGGCCCTATCTCTACCTCCTCATCGTCCATACGACTGCTCCATTGACCTTCTACCGGGAGCTACTCTACCAACTAGCCGTCTATTCCATCTGTCGGGCCCTGAACGTAGCACCATGCAATCATACATTGAGGAGTCTCTTGATTCCGGAATTATCCGTCCATCGACCTCTCCAGTGGGGGCAGGTTTCTTTTTTGTTACCAAGAAGGACAAAACATTGCGCCCGTGCATCGATTATCGAGGACTCAACCACATAACCATAAAAAACAAGTATCCGCTACCGTTAATCGACTCTATCCATGAACAATTACTGACCGCTACCATCTTCACCAAACTGGACCTTCGCAACGCTTACTACCTCGTCCGGATCAAGGAAGGTGATGAATGGAAGACAGCTTTTAAGACACCTATGGGACACTTTGAATATCTCGTCATGCCATTTGGTCTCACCAATGCTCCCGCAGTTTTTCAGGCACTGATAAATGATGTATTGAGAGATTTTCTTGGGGACTTTGTATTTGTTTATTTAGATGATATCCTCATCTACTCCAGGAACAAGCAGGACCATGTTTCACAAGTCAGAATGGTACTTCAGAGACTTTATGAAAACCAACTCTTTGTGAAAGGTGAAAAATGTGATTTCCACACCACCTCTGTCTCATTTTTGGGGTTTATCTTCGGGGAGGGGCACTATAGGACCGACCCGGAAAAGACTAAGGCGGTGGTGGAGTGGCCAGTTCCAGACACCAGGAAGCAGTTGCAACGTTTCCTAGGTTTTGCCAACTTCTATAGGCGTTTCATCAAGGACTACAGCCGTATTGCAGCACCTCTCTCCCAGCTCACTTCCACCAACAGAACTTTTCAATGGACCCCAGAAGCCAACTCTGCATTTTGTAAGTTGAAACGTCTTTTCTCTTCTGCTCCCATCCTCTGCCACCCAGACCCAACTCGTCAGTTTATCCTGGAGGTGGATGCATCTGACACCGGAGTCGGCGCAGTATTGTCCCAGAGGTCACCCAAGGACAATAAGGTACACCCTTGTGCTTTTTTTTCTCGTCGTTTGTCACCGGCGGAAAGGAACTATGATGTGGGCAATAGGGAGTTACTGGCTGTGAAATTGGCATTAGAGGAGTGGCGTCACTGGCTTGAGGGCACTGAGGTACCCTTTCTCATCTGGACAGACCACAAGAATCTCACATATCTCAAAGACGCCAAACGATTGAACCCCAGGCAGGCACGATGGTCACTTTTTTTCACCCATTTCAATTACTTGCTGACATTCAGACCTGGGTCCAAGAATATCAAACCCGATGCTTTGTCTCACCAGTTTTCTCCTCCAGAAGCCCCGGAGTCCGAGGACAGCATCCTGCCTCCAGTTTGCATCATTGGAGCCCTCACCTGGCCCATTGCCAAGGAGGTTCAACGGGCTCATCGATTGGAACCAGATCCAGGCACAGGCCCTCCTGGTACACTTTTCGTCCCCTCGTCTATGAAGGCCAAGGTACTTGAGTGGGTGCACACTAACAAGCTCTCGTGTCACCCCGGTATCTCTCACATGCTTTCTCTAACTAGGACCCATTTCTGGTGGCCCACTCTGCCACATGATGTAAAGGAGTTTGTGGTAGCCTGCCCCACGTGTGCCAGGAACAAGACTGGCACTCAACCCCCAGCAGGTCTTCTTCAGCCCTTGCCCACGCCCAGTCGCCCGTCGTCTCACATCGCCGTGGATTTTGTCACTGGTTTACCGCCCTCAGACGGTAACACTACTATACTCACGGTGATTGACAGGTTTTCTAAGGCGGCTCACTTCATCCCACTCCCAAAATTGCCTTCCGCTATGCAGACGGCCCATCTCTTGGTCCAACACGTTTTTCGCATCCACGGCATCCCCTCTGACATAGTTTCTGACAGGGGTCCCCAATTCATCTCCCAGGTATGGCGCTGTTTTTGTACC